GGTGTGAGTAGCGTTTCACCGCTGTTGCTAAACCATTTCGTGAGCTAAGAAGTAGCCCGTCCGTAAAGAAAAAGGTAGTGATCCCCTTATACACTATGTGCCAGATGGTACCTGCAGTGAACAGTTGACCGAGATGCTTGCTATTCTGACAGAAGGCGCATTTGTGCAGTATGTGGAGCGTTCTTGTCCCTGCGTCCGTGTCTCTGAGTCTCCTAATGGCGCATTTCAGGACCGACTACGAGCTTTGTGGTGTAAATACATAGGATCCCAGAAATAAAAGAGCACCGCTGGTTGGCTCGCACATTCTTGCATCTCGTCATATAGAAAAGCAGCCAAATTTGTGACCGTGACGGCGAATGGCTCTCCAAGGATGAGCCGAGGATGTTTACCGTGCGGCTTCCGTTACAGTATCATTTGAGCCAACAAGCAGCTCTAAAGGGTTATGCGCATTTATCCTGTCATTTCCCCCTGTCTATTTGTGTGTTTTGTTCCGGTGTTGACAGAAAAAGTGGAACAACTCAGTAAACTTCCTGAAGCCTCGCCAACCAAACGACGCGACCCAAACAAGGCTTCTCGCAAAGAACCTCTTTGCAAGCCAAGAACTTCCAGTCCCTCCCAAATGGAGCCGAGTGTGACAGACAAGTTATCTGTACTGCCTTCACTGCGCACTAGTTTCAAACGTAGCAATTCGGAAGATAAAGCCACGAAACGACCCGGCGTGCTAAAAGAGAGCGAGCAACAGGCGAATTGTAAATCTGCATCGGGTCACTGCACCCGATCAGCTGTGCCAAAAGATCGCCAAGCGTATACTTGTACGAATAAGCCTCTGATCCCCAACGGAAAATCTCATGTGTCAGAGGCCTGCTCGCCGGGTTTGCCGCAACCACGCTCAGATGGCTTCATGAAATCTCGCGTGGCTCCCAAGTGGCATATGCTTCCAGGTAGAGCGGAACCGCACCCATTAAATATGCAACGAGCCTGGCAATCACAGACTGGGAAAGCGCAGGATACTCCAACTTGCAAGGGCCAGTTTTTGATGCGAAATAAGCAGCAGGAACAACAGGGGAAGTGCTCTACTACTGAAGGAAGAGAACTCGGAGCCCCTTTGAGGCAAGCGCTACGCCCAACATTTACTAAAATTGCTGTTTGTGGAAACGTGTGCTTGAATGGGCCTCCAAAGGGATCTGCACAGCAATTAGCATT